CTTTCCCCTTATTGGAGCTTGACATTTGGCCTCTGGATGTTGAGGAACCAGTTCAATGTTTCAGTTGTGAAAGAATATGACTGAGATTAATTCCCTTCTGTATCTCCTTTCTGCCATTTCAGGAGCCAGGGGGTACAGCTACATTCAAGATCAATGAGTTATAGCCACATGCAAGGTCATGAAAAGTAATATCCTTCAGGAGAGTGGAGTTTCCAGTATTCTTGCTGAGCCAAAAAGAGAACATAGGAGGGAGACAGCCATGCTACCTAATGAAGTATTATGAAATACAGAGTGGGCTTCAGAGGAAATTAGAAGATTCTGTCTTGAACACAAATGAGTAACTTCCACTTCAGTTTACCTCTACATACAGTGGGGTTCTGCAGGATGGAGAGAGTGTGGCTAGCAGATTACAGTTGCTTATAGCTTCGTGCAGCCTTATCCCTTCCTAAATCTTACCATCTTCTCCATCACCTCCTATGGCCCCCAGTCTCAGAGAAGGCAAGAATCAACCAAAGGCAAATAGACATTTTTAAAAAGTCACCCAAAACTTGATACATCTTAACCTATTTATCCTGAAAAAGTCAGTTCAAAAATCCTCTCCTCCATCAGCCTCACTTGGCTTCCCATGCTACCCCACAAGAAAGAGCTGGTTCCTCCTTCCTGTGGATGGGCCCGAAGGCACTGTGTTTAGCCTTTCTGGTGTTCTCGGGTCAGTATTCTCCTGATGCTATGGTTTGAATGTTTGTCCCCTCAGAAACTCATGTTGAAACATAAACCCCTATTTAATAGTATTAAGAGATGGAGTCTTTAAGAAGTGATTGGGCTATGAGGGCTCTGTCCATAACCCAATGGATTAATAGGTTAATTGATTAACAGATTAATGGTTTAATGGATTAAATGGATTAATAGATTAATGGGTTCATGGATTAAGTGGGTTATCACATGAATGGGTTAATTATCACGAGAGTAGATATGTTATAAAAGCCAGTTTGGCTCAATGCAACACCCCTATTACCCTGTGATGCCTTCCACAATGTTATGACACAGCATGAAGCCTTCACCAGAAGCCATCCAGATGCAACCACTTGATCTTGAACTTCCCAGCCTCTAGAACTATAAGTAATATGTTTCTTTTCTTCATAAATTACCCACTCTGTGGTAGTCTGTTAATAGCAACAGAAAATGGACCAAGGCGCCTGACTTGGAAGTCCTCAAGAACAGAACTGTGTCTTTGTCTTGTTTGATGTTCAGAGCCAAGTCTACTGCCCCACACAGATGCTGCTCCATAAAGTTTTACTCCCCAAATGTTCACTTCCCTCAAGGCTCTGGCTATAATGTATAGTCAAAACCCTGCAGAGGGGAAAGCAACCCAGCTGGGTAACCAGGAAAGAAGCCAGATCTAGGATAGAGAAGCTCAAATTGTTCATTCAGGAACATCCCACAAGAGAAAATGAGATAAAGACAGTTCAGGGGATTTCTGAATGGTGAGTTTTTATGCTGAGATTTTTCCTGGCTTGCCTTGGCATGCTCAATTCAGTGTAACATTTGGCTGCAGGCCCTCCCCTAGGCACACTGTTGGTATTCCATGTCCCATCTGCCAGTGCCTCTGGAGGACATTAGGATAAGTAGTTTGATCCAGAAAGGATACCCACTATCCTGGCCCTTTGCCTAAGACATGCAAATAGAGAGCACTTCCCAGCCACAAAGCTTTTGCCTGTGCCAGTAATGTATTATTTTTGTTATTACTATCCATAGCTACCATGGATTGAGCATCTACTAAGTGCACCATGCTAAGTCCTTTGCTTGCATTCTTTCATTTCATCATCATTTAAAGAATAAAACAGGCAGATATAATTATCTCCATTGTAGAGATAAGGAAGTTGTGACCCATAACTTAGTCATACAACTGATAAAGGGCAGAGTAAAGATTCAAATCCAGATCTGGCAGACAACAAAGCCCATTTTCCTCACACCATGCTGTCTTGCCCAGAAATAACTATCCTGAGGATGAAACCAGCAACAATAAGCCCACATAGAAAAACCAATGGAAATTACCAAAGCTGTACTCTGAGGTAAATTTATAGCTTTCAATTCTCACATTTTTTAATGAAACATTCAATTTAAGAAATGTTTATCACAATTTAAAATCTCAAGTAAAGAACATAAAATCAGATGCATTAATTTTAAAATACAAAACATCAGTAAAATTGACAAAATGGTCTTTGCCATAAGACAGTGGCGGCCTATACCTTGTTCCCTCTGAATGCAGGGTTCCCAGGAATGAACTAAGGGACTTAAGATGACATTGATACTGACAAGCTTTGCTTCTGGGTAAGACGAATACCCAGAGATCTGGGCACACATAATGACAGTAGTTGTTGTACTTTCTAACCACTGACTATAGGTTGGCATAAGGGTCTGTGTCTCTGAGAGTTTGCCTGATCAGCTTAAGTGATTCTCACACCTGTCCAAGCCTCCAGGACACCCTTCTAAGCCAGTTGCAACAGGAGCCTGAAATTTAAGTCCCATGCCCCACTTTTCCTGAAAACCATCCTATCCCTGGTTAAGCCTAGCCCAAATATAGTCTATCAGCCACAACATCTGACATTGCTAGCACATGGCTGTGTCTTCCTCCAGATTGAGGAAATTTGGCAGGGGTTGAAAAGGAAAGAACACAGAGAGTTTGTTTTTCCCTGCATTATTCCTATGCTTATAAGGCAATCATGAGAAACAATTGTTCTGTGGCTTTAAATCTAGTAAATAGAACTCCCTTTGAGATTCCAGTTTGAAAGCTGGTGAAGATCAGAGTAATTCCACTGTTTATGTAATAAACACACACATAAACCTCTAACATTTTTATAAAAAACCTGGTGGTAATAAAATTTGTGTTAAGATAAAAGCAATCATTTCCCCCACAGCTTTTATTGTGCTGAATGCAATATCTGCCAAGTCCTACTTGAAGGCATCTTTGATTAAAGACCTAGTCTTCCCACTTGTGAGCCATCCAGAGTTGGCGGGGTACCATGACCTTGCTGAGACTAATGCCCAAAGATAGCCAAATTCATAACATGCCAGCAGCTTCAAGAAAGTTGAGCCCTCTGCCAAGTAGCTCTGTCCCCACCACCACCCCCGCCCAGTCCCTTCCTGGTCTGTCAGCCACCTGTAGGCCTTGGATCTTCAACTCTTGAGGGAAAACTGGGTCAAACTATTCTAAAGGCTTTCTCATATATATATATATATATATATATATATTTTTTTTTTTTTAATTTTTTTTATTGAGCCTAAATCGAAACTTCTGGCAGGTACTTGGAAGGGCCTTGTTTCTTTGGTACTCCTTCCCATTACTTAATTCTTCAGGCCTGATAAATAAAGACTATCTGGCTGTTGGATACTCTCTCCTGAATTCACTGATCTATATGAAAATGTATGAACTTAAGCCCTTAATTGTCTTCCTTGGTTCCCTGAGGGGAACTGGGGGGTCTGGGTAGGAGTACAGTTCTTACTTCTTACCTAAGTCAGTGATTCTCAACCCTGGCTGCACACTGGAATCCACCTAGGGAGCTTTAAAAACATGCACTGATATCTGGACCCACTCCCAGAGATTCTGATTTAATTGGTCTGGGGTGTTTAATTGTTTTAATTGGCCTGCCCATAAAATAATGGTTATTTATCATAAATATATATGAAATATATATGATATTAGGGACTTGTATTTGAACAACTTCTCTGCCACAAAATTCAGAAACCACAATGTCCTGAACAAACTGATAGAGACTCCATGACACCCATTGGAAGCTGTCTGGTTCACCAGCATGCTTCCTTCTTCTCCTGAGGGATCTTAAGTAGCAAAGCTCCACAGAATAGTGCCTTCCCATCATCACGGCCTGGAAAAGCAACTTGGAGAGAGTGTTCTCAGACAGCAGGTAGAACAAATCTTTCATTGAGAAAGGCTGCGTACATGGTATTGGTAGCAGTTGGGCTAATAGGAGACCCTTGAAGCTTGGCCCTGTATCAGCCTCCGCAGAGGCAGTGGAGGCAAATGTGCAGTAAAGGGGTTTAGCTGAAGCAAGGAGAGCTGTCAGCATCAACTCTCACACTGGCCACCCCCTGCAGAACAACCTAATAGTGCATAGCAAGAAATGAAAGTAAGGCACTGTCCTTGACATTAAGGATCCTGAGTTACAATTGAAGGACTAATACCCCCAGTGCTGGAAGAATACTGTAAAATGTTCAGTGCTTTCCAAATAGGGTTCAATTGCATGGCCAACCTTATGAGATAATGAAGTATTCTGAAGGAGGGCTTAGAGGACTAAAGAAATCAAGACAGGCCCCAGAGTGGTTTAACAGATTTGTGTAAGGCCATTGACAATGTAACAGAAACTAGAGGTTGGGGGATTTGGGTCTGGGGACTCTCAGTTCAGGGCTGTTTTGGGGACACCAGGAGATAAATAAATCTTTCTCTGTAATCTCAGGAGGAGGGTAAAATACTGAAGAAGACTGGAGAGGGAGGTGCTAGAGGAGAAGAAAGCAGCATAGGGCCTGGTGCGAGCCCGTGCAGGATGGGGCCCCTTCCCAGCAGTCCTGAGCTACAGCCCCAGAAACCTGCCCTGGAATCTCCACTTGAGTTACTCTCTGGCCCTTTAAGATGTTCAAATGCCAGAGTAGAAGAGGAGAAGGAAGAAAGGGTTGCCCTCTGTCTTAGGTAGTTTGATGCCTCAGAAGGAGAGCAAAGGTGAAAACATTGGCCAACCAGCATGAACGATGCAAGGTCCTCAGAGCTTAGGAGCCAGTGACCCTAAATGTCAAAGTCAGCCTTGAGTGAGGGTCAAGTGCAGATTCCCTTCCTCACAGCTGTTCCTGTGAAAGAGCTCACTTTCATTGGGAAGCATACTTCTCCTTTCCCCTAGTATAGGAGGTGGCTACAGCACAAGCCCCTGTTCCTTAGGCCCAGCCTCCCCCTCCCCTTTGTCTTCCCAGGAAATGCTGCAAATCCCAAATACCTGCATTCTTGGGCATGCAGCAGGCCAGAGCCATGCTTGGATTCCCGCTCTGCTCCTTAAGGAAGGGCCTTTTCTTTTATGCAAAGACGTCTCTGAATGCCAGAGAGCTGAAAGCTGATCTGCTTAAGTCAGCAAGCAGGGCAGGGGGGGGATGGAGGGTGAGAGAGGGCAACCTTCTGTAAGGATGATGGCAGATTTTCACCGAACCTCTGTGCTGCCTCTGGGACTCCCCCCTGGAGGGGGAGATGGTCTCATCCAAGTGCTAGGCTGGCTGCTAATCCCTCCAGGTTCACTTGAATGGCAAATCAGAACTACAGGGCAGCCAGGACACACCCTGTCTCCAGAGGAGGGGCTTAACACTTTCCTTTTTCATCCCTGTAGCAGTTTAGGTAACAATGAGACTTCTTTACAGCCTTACTACTCCAAGTGCAGTTGGCCAGGGGGTTACGAGCATAAGCTGGGAGCTTGTTAGAATGCAGAGTCTCAGGCCACACCAGTTTAAGAAGCTCTGCCAAGTGCCATGTGGCTATGGAAACCATTAGCACACTGTCAGAGACAGGGAGCTGGACAAATGCCCAAATCCAGGTAGCCACAGCAGCCCAGCCCCTATGCCAACTGCCTGATCAGGAGAAGGAATACATTCCAACCCATCACTACATAGCTGCCCCAGGTTGCCACCCATTCTTCTCACCAGAATGGGGCTGGTTTACTTGGCTGTGAAATTTTAGGTTGGTATGAGGGTGCACTATTCAACAGGTCTGCAAATATTTGCACATTCACCGAAAGGACAAGAATGGTGGGGGTGGAGGCGACACAACTGGAGTTTGCTCTTTGCAGGTTACAAATCAATTTCTGATCTCCTCCACTCCACCCCACACACACACACCACCTGTGTCAACATATTAGACTCTCATGATGCTGATAACAGCAGTAATAGCGCATAGCAAGACTACTCAAACCACTTTGCAAACAGCAACCATCCTGGACCCTATTCAGATCTTCCTCTTGGCAAGAAAGGGAGAGTTTAGGGACTTTCATGGCTTTGCCCTAATAGCCTTATGTTGTCATAGCACATGAGTTGCCTCCCAACTGAGCCCAGCAAGTGAATCCGTGTGCAGAAGCTAGAAGGGAAGAGCGAAGGAAAGAGGATAAACTAATGGAGAGTGGGAGACAAGCTTTTGCTTTGCAGTCCAGAGAGAACATTAAAAGAACAACTAGTGAGGCAGATGGACTTGCTTTTTTCTCAGTTGCCAGATTTCTGCTGATGGCTGTGACTCCCTGTATTGGATACTTCTGCTCCTTAATATGTGCAGCAAGAATCAGAATGAGTGACTTCATTTCCGAAGAGGAACTGAATGGCTCTGAGGCTCTGGGATGCATTAAGACAGCCCAAATCAACAGAAAGTCTGGCTGGAACCTTAGAGAAATGACCCAGACAGAATCTTCAGCCTCCCAAGCATCTGTCAGTGGCATCAGTTGCTGGCATGGCCATTGCCTAAAATCTTGCTAATTGCACTGATCCCCTCCCTTTAGCAGAGAGTCAGGGCCCTGATTGAGGGAAGAAAGCAAAGGGCTGGAGAGAAGGAGGGAAGGTCAGCCAGAAATGAAGACAGAAGAGAGAGAAAGCAAAGAGGGTGACCCTAGGCTTTACAGGGACTTGTGTGGGTTCTTAAAAGCAATCATGGTGACCTTTTGAGTAGAAAACCAAGCTAAGCTAGTATTTAAAAATCTTCTTCAGAGCCCCAATCTTGCCTCTAACAACAATCACTCACGAAAAGACTCTCACGAATAAAAGGAAATGCTGCCATTGTTTTATATTTTTTCTGGGAAGTCATAATAGGTTTTAAAAGGTTAATCTCCCTCTCAGCCCTGTTTTTTCCCTTCCAGTGACCCCAAGCTGAAAAGGAAAAATATTTCCACTTGGTGTTTAAAAACCACCACAGTGAATTAGCTTTTGTTGTTCATGGCAAAGCCACTATTTAGCTGCCCAGAATCAAACCAGATGTCAGGGAAGAAAGAAGGCCCTGCATCCTGTGAACTTGCCTTTCACCTTTGCAGAACAGCTGAGGGGAAAGCTGGGCTGAGATGGCAAAATAAAGGGAGTTTGGTGCTCAGCAAACCTGATGTGCACTTTTGATGCAAGCACTGGGTACCTCTTGCTGGCATGCTGTCCACAGGACTAGAATGTAACAGCTCTAGAAACCTGAATGCACAATGCCTCCTGATTTCCAGAAGTTTTCTTCTGTGGACACCAGGTCAGCAGCACTATTCCCATAGGTAGCAGAGACCAGAGATGGAGAAGAGAATTAGGAGACAGAAAGAAAACACAAAAAGAGATCAGCAGGACTTGCTGGAACATGAAATCTATCAGTGAAGGTAAAAAAAAAAAAGAAAGAAAGAAAGAAACTGAAAGGAAAAGGATATATTTTCTTTCTGAGCCTTCTGGAAGAGTATGAGGAGTAGATTATTACTCATTCTCATTTTTCTTTAGGACACCACCCGCCAACACTCACAGTTTAAATTGGGCAAAAAAACCCTCCACCCTTCCTGTGGGTCTCAGGCTGTTTCTCACTGTTTCCTAAATCTATAGTGTAAGTAAGCAGGAAGTTCTCTCAACATCAAGACTCTTTTTAACCACTCAACAAACATTTAATAAGCCCTGACTTTGATCAAGTATTTGAGTGATACCAGAAGGCTTTGGATACTATTCCTACCCAGGAGTTTACAGCCTAATAAAGAATAGCATTTCTCATTAGGGGAATATAATAACACAGTACAATAGTATAACAATAATAGCAACAACAATAATAGTAAAAGGCATCATTTTTCAAAATCTAATGATATGTCAGTAATTGCACTTTATATACAGTAACATCTTGAATCCTTGCATTAACCCTCCATAGTAATTTTTATTATTTCCATTTACAGATATAGAACTGAGGCTCAAATAACTTGACCAAGGTCACGCAACTATTAAGCTAGCCAGGGTTTTTTTTTTTTTTTTTTAAATCACTGATGAAGCCCAAGTGCCTAGAACAGTGCCTGGCACATAGTAGGTGCTCAATAAATATTTACTAGAAAGCAGTTGTGGGTGCAGGGAAGGGCTTTCTGGAGCATTGGAGCTGAACTTTGAAGAATGGCTAGGATCTATGCAAATGTGATAAAAAGCACACCAAGAAGAAAGCAGGAATCTCTTTAAAAAATTGTTTTACAAAATAGCAAAAAATGGACAGGATGAAATAGTGGTCAGGAGAAGTACAATCACAGAGACTTGAGTCCTACTGTGACTGCTGCCTATAAAGTATGTGAACTTCACCAAGTCATTCATTCTCTTAGTGCCTTATTTTACTTATCTGCAAAATGGAGATAAGAATATTACCTACTGTGGTATAAGTTGTCAATTTTTTAGTAAAACTTCACATTCTCCTTTTCTTTCATTATAAGATCTCATTTAAAAACCCGAACCCACTGCCATACAACCAAAATTCTAGATGTCCAGGTCTCCGTTTTAGCTAGGGATTGCTACCTGGTCAATGTGGTCAAAGCAACTGTGGTATGGGATTTCTAGAAAGACTCCTCAGAAGACAAGGGGCATGTTCCTTCTTTCATCCTGATGCTTGGGACAATGATGTGATGACTGGCCCTCCAGCAGCTATCTTAGACTATGAAGATGAGGGTCAATATCTAGGGGTGGTGGAACTAGGAGCCGGAAGAAGCCTCGGTACCTCATTATTGCTAAGTCTGCATACAAGCCCTTAACTTCTTTTACACAGAGAGAAATAAAGTTTCATCTTTTTAAAGCCTTTGTTGATCCCCAACAGATACATTTACCTCAAAGAGTTGCTGGGAGGATTAAATAAGATAATATAGATCAAGTAATTAGTACTTGGTCTTATACATACTAAGCACTCAAACAAATTTTAGCAATCATGTTTTGTTGTTCTTATCACTATTATCATCAATATCATTACAAAATCTAGAATACTCCCCTATTCTGCATTAGTCTGAGCCACCTTCATTCAGTTATTTAATTGTCCATCTGCTTAAAAATCCCTAGGATTTATCTTTCATGAGAACCTATTCATAAATCTTCCTAATATAGAGACTCTGATAACAAAAATATTTATCTTTGAATTTCATCACTAAATCATCCACACAACCAGCAATAATGAAAATTTAGGTCTGTTAGTGAATGGAGGGTTAATAGGTTAACACTTCTGAGGATAGAAAACATTCACTATATTCTAAACTTGGTCAAATATCCTTTTTTGGAAAACAACTTTTGAGCAACTTGATGCCTCAAAAGTCTCTCCCTCTTCCCAACCAGATAGACCTTTACATTTCGGGACATATATGAAAAAAATTTTAAGATGAAATTTGCTGAGAAAGTTTTGAGAGTCAGCATGGTATGCTGGACTCCAAGAGATTTCAAGGACTGTGGATCTTTTGACTTAAATCTCTTTTTCTTAGTGTATTTGACAGATTGTGTGGTTTGTTCCTGAACTTGATCAGTGAATGTTTCTTAGAAGAGCTAAGAAAAGAAATAAAGACAATGGGATAGAATGAGTGATTCTCACTGGTCAAAGGATAGGCTGAATTAAAATTACCAAGCACTGAACTCAGGAAAACTATAGAATCTCAGGCCTCACTCCAGACCCACTGAATCAGAATTGCTGGATGTAGGGCCTGACAATCTGTATTTTTAAAGATGCCCAGGTGATTCTGAGGTACAGTCACCTGGGCAGCTTTAAAAATATAGATTGCCAGATTGTACATTGAGATTATTCATAAATGCCCCTCCTCCCAAGATTGGGTTATCTAGAAGCAAAGTCTAAGTTAAGATTGAAATTATTGTTCAAGTGACGTATGGAGGGAGTGCTCTTAGTAGAAGGGGCATGAAGAAAGCTGGATATGAGGGACTGAGCAGGATTATAGTCTCAGCTGGATATTTGCTCCAGCCTGATGCCAGAGATCTCTGAGGCACAAATTGCACCACAGAGCTGGTCTCACCTACAGTTGAAATGGTTGGTGGGGCTTGCATTTAGCCAAGAGCAAGTCTTTGGGGAAGAAGGCAGCTATAGCATTTAGCATCCAACACTCACAGCAGCTGGAGGACCAATGCATTAGCTTGTAAAAGAGATGTAGGCAGGGCACTACCAGCATCCACTACCAACTCCAACCTGCTAGGCTATGGTGCAGTCAGCTTTGAGCTCGCTCCACTAGGGCTCTAATGTTCCTTTGCTGGCTTGGCCCAAGGTTCCTTCTCAGAGAAGGGACTTGGAGAGGAGTTTAACTTACAGGCAGGGTTTCAGACAAGATCGAGTATGTTCAGGGTGGTATGACCTTAGACTGCAGGAAAGGTTTCAGAATCTGATACAATCCTTTCAGTGGCCAGGGCCACCAAGATGGCACACTAGATTACCCATGCATCCACCGGGTTTATCATTTGCTTGCTAAGTTTTGCTAGGAGTTGGCCCAAAGTCAATGTCCCAGAGCCCTTCTCATGAGTTCCAACCATATCCACTCATATGCTCCATAACCAGTGACTCAGAGAATCTGGCCACCTGGTGATCTGTACCCTCTCTCTTCTCCCTTGACAAATCAAGATGCAAGCCACTGAACTTCCTTTGCTTATTCTTGATGAGTCCTAAATAGGTCAGATCACTTTGGAGGTTGGCCGGAAGCTAATTTTGTATTCACCACTGACCTGTTTTATTCCTCTGGCATTTCAGGAAAAAGTTGGGTGAATGCCTTTTCTTCTTGTTTGCCTGAGTCCCCATTCCCTGGAGGTAAATTTGCAGCCCAGGCCAATGTGATTTATTCAGAGCTATTGCTACTTGTCAGTGGATTGCTGCCCAAGCTTGCTTACAGCCCATCTGCTGGATTCCTATACATATGTGAACATGTGTGGAAAATTAAAGGCCCAGCCGGCTGTGGCCTGGAGCTGCCTTGCCCCACAGCTGTTCCAGCCTCCATCCACCAGGCCTGATGCCAGTGTCTTTTGAAGCTGTCCTCACCACATGGTCAAGAAATGGGGAGCATCAATAATAACGCACTCAGGACCCAGTCATGAGTCTATCAGTTGCTTTTCATCAGGAGATCAACCAAGAAGAGCTTACATAGCACTCCATACCACTGCAGAGCCCCACCCTACTCAGTCTCTGCTCTCAACAAGGAAGTGTCGCCATTTTGGTTTCTATATCAGGGCAGAGACCCAGGACAGGAAGCAGAGAAAGAAGCAAGAATTGAGGAGTGCTGCAAAAAAAGAGAACAATGTGCTTTGATTTTGTGATTAGTTCCACCTTAGGAGAAAACATAACACTTCCAACCAAAGTCCGAAGCTAGAAACAGGAAATATCCAGGCCTGACTCAACTGTCTCTCCAGAAGCTGTTCTTTAATTGCAAGATGTCAATCCCCTCTCCCCCTCACCCCAGATTTCATTGTTTGTTTTGTTTTCAGGCATTTAGTTGTTGTTTTCCCTTTGCCTTCATACACTGAGAAATATCTGCACATGAGCCTGCAGGGCAATCTGGCCTTATAATAATAACATAAGTCACAACTCTTTTACTCTCTCCTCACTGTTTCCACTAAATTTAAAGACAACATGCAATGGAAGTTTCTTCATGGTAATAATATAATAATGATAAATTTAATGGTTTATTCATTCAGCAAATATTTATTGAACACCTGCTATGTGTCAGGCATGGTTTTAAGTTCCTTGTGCTATTTCAGTTAATTCTCACAGCAACTCTATAAGGTAGATAACAGTATTAACCTCCATTTTACAGATCAGGAGACTGAGGTGTAGAGAGGTTAAACAATTTGCCCAAGGCATTGGAAGTGGTAAATGGCAGAGCCCAGGCTCCTAATAACTATGCTGGGTTATCCCAGTGATAAAGGGTAGGGAACCAATTATCCTGCCTCAGAAAGCACAGATTTACCATCTCCCATCACTCACATTCCAATCCTAAGGCAACAGACAATAAGCAAGACCAGGATTGAAATCCCAGCTACCCACAAGAAATTTCTGTCACTTGCTTTGCTGAGTGTTTCAGGAGGAACATTCATGTGTAGACAGAGTTGTGTGTGTATGTGTGTGAGTCCAGGGGTGTAAGCATGCATATGCATGCATGAGTGGCTACATACACCCCCTTATTCAATGCTCTCCCTTGAGCCTGAATAGTTTCCATGTATAATGAAGTTAAAAACAAGACTCTAATCTTCCCTCTTTGCACGGATCCCCACTGCTGCTTCCACAAACTGGGAATTTTTTTAAAGCACTAACACACCCTTCTGGAAAGGCTGGGCACCCTCACCCTGGGTTTGAGCTGTCTCTCAGTATTGTAACCTTCCACTTGGCAGAGCTCCAGTTTTAGCAAGAACAACTACCAAGTACCCAATCACCACAGGGAATCCAAAGACAAATACATAAAAATGAAGACATTTTGGGAGAAGGAGTGAGAGTCTGTGGAGCTGCCATGTGGGCCCCCAAGTTCCCAGTTTAGAACACTTTGCCCTCCAGGCTGGCACGTATTCTTCCTTTCTCCAACCCTCTGGCCTTACAAATACAAAATTTTCATTCCACCACATATTACTTTGACCCTTCCTTCACAACGAAGTGAAAAACACCTGATAATGGCTTAAGCCTTTCCTGGGGTTTTTGCATTTTAATAGAAATTAAAGCCTTTTGCTGAGTGGACCAACCTGGAGTGTTAAAACTAGAGGCATCAGCCAGCAGGTAGAAGTGTATTTGGGCATGGGAGAAGAAGAAAACCATGGGGTTTTCTATAGCTCTAGAATTAGCTAACACTTCACCTAAGATTTCATGAAGATCCTAATAAAAACAAAACTATATTAACTGTATTTTACCCAGAAAGGAGAAAGAACATTAAAATGGTCCTAAGAGCAAGATCATTCAGGGAAAGAGAGATGATCATTGAGCATCACATGATCACTGAGCATTAGATGATCACTGAGGTCCCTAATAGTTTTAGCACTC